AAAGTGGCAACACGCTGACTTTGCCCATAAACTAACCGAATCAGTTTTGGGGGCGTCTCTCCAGTCTCCACGGATGTTGTTGCTGCCCACTTAGAGATGGAAGTGTAAACGATAGACCGATGATTTATGTATTGTCTGGTTAGTTCGCCTCAATGGAGAAAATGCTAATTGAATAATTTGAATAGCTATCGATAATAGGTAGATAGTCGTCCTTGTTGCTCCTCGAGCAGAAGCGAGAAAGCTATCCTTACTTTGTTTTCTTTACCGTAATTGAGAGTTAATGGCTTAGATGTGTTAATTAGCGAATTTAAATTCATTCTGCGTTTTACTTAAAAACCAACCCAGCTTGACATCTCTAGAAATCTTGCCCCCCACCATTGTATCCTCCTTTTAGCCATGGTCCATGGCCATCTTGGGGCCCCTTGGGGAATCTGTGCTCCCTAAGTGGATGAGTGAGACAACAAAAAAAAACAAGTCCCAAAAAGATGACTCGGCTTCTTCGTTGCCCTTCTCGCTCCCTCGACTGCTTGACACTCATTAATGTTTAAAGTGTTTTATGATATGCATAATTGCTTGTAGAGATAATAAAGTTTTCTGCCCGACCAGTGGCCACCCTCGCTTAGCTTTCTTGGCCCCTTGGGTCATTTGTCCATTCACTTAATTAAAATGCAAATGGAAATTCCTCAAATAGCTTGCAACTCCAGGGCGGGAAAGAGATGGGTGATTGGAGAGTGGGGGATCTTCCTGCAATGACAACTAGGCTTTATTTTAAAGTCAACTGATTTGAGGGTAGTTTTAATATATTTTCTGTATTCAGGACCTCGAAATATTAAGATTCTGAAAGTTTCAGACAAATCGGAGTAGTTTTTTTCCTTCCTCTTCCATTTGCGGAAGATCTCCCCCTGTTTCCATTGTCTTTAATGTTCCTGGCTACCGAGTTTACGACGCGTGAACGGCAACAGCAACTCATCTACAAAGAGGCGACAAAATTCGAGGGGCTCCCTCCCAGCCCTACCAGTTCTTCTACAAAAGATCGCCTCGATGATTCTGCTCCGTCAGCTTCTTGCCAGGGTTGTGTTCTTCTTTTTTTTTTTTTTGTATTTTTATTGTATGAGTGTTTCCAGTGAATTTTTTGATGATATCTTTGAATGTTAACATTCACAAAAGCGTAAAAATTGTATCTCCCCCCCCTGTAGTGCCCCTGCTGCCTACCCTGCCTACCTACCTTGTTGGTTCCCCCTTTTGGTATTAGTTTCTGGCTCTGGACCCTTTTCCGCACTTCGTGTGTGTGTGTGTGTATGAGTGTGTGTGTATTAAGTGAAATTCTTTTGTGTCGACAAGCGAAAATAAAATTCACACACTGCCGAACGTGCCGCATTGGCCAGAAGGGGGGGAGGAAGTGAGAGGCAGCTATACATGTTCGCAGGGTGGAGGGAGAGAGAAGGAAGGCAGGCCAGTCACACAATGATTTTTTTTTTAAGGGGGAAGAGTATGGAGGACTAAGGGGAGTAGGGGACTAGGGGGTAAGAAGAAGGTAAACTGGCAACTGGGATGATGATGATGATGCTGCTGCTGCCTTACCTTTTGTGTTTTTTTATTTTTACCTGGCGGGCACAATAACAACAACAACAACAACAAAAAAAAAAGGTGCAAAAGCAACAACAAAAACAAAAAACACCGAAACCGAAAACGAGCCAAACTGACGGAGTGAGAACAGCAACAACAAATACAACAACTACAATAAGTAGAGGTAACAAAAGCGACAACAACAACAACAATAACAACAATGAAAATACACCCAATGACAAGCTGCTCGGCAATTTGACATAATTTATACGTCAAATTACTGCAAATTGATGCTAAATGGCTTCAAATTGAATTGACTGGCGCAGAAGAAGGCAACACCAACAACAACAACAACAGCAATTTTTATATAAAAAAAAGAAAGAGAAAGAGCAACAAAACATAGCGCCCCAGAGGCGATAAGGCAACAACAACTACAACAACAACAAACTTGGCCAACTCACCATGTCGACAGTTGTCGTAGTTGTTGTTGTTGCTGTAATTGTTGTTGTTGTTGTGCTCAGTGAAACGAAAACATTTTGAATTTCCAGCGTGGGGGCATCTTGAGTCGCCGCTGTAATTGCTGTTGCTGTTGTTGTTGTTGCTGTTGTTGTTGCTCTTGTTGCCTCGATGTGGCTCCTTGTGCCTCATGTTGCGGTTACCAGCTACCACACTCTACTTGTGACTCTTTTTTTTTTTTTTTCTTCTTCTTGGTTGTTGTGGCACGTCTGAGAAGTAGAAGAAGTAGCACTACGTTTCGGAGCTACAATCACTGCTTCAAGTTGCAAGCTTCAAGAGGGGCATTAAGGAAGAAACGGCGCGAAAAGAGCAAATTCATCTCGACAGCTACCTTTGCCGACGTGGACACCCTCCTCCGGCACCCTCCTCCCTGGCTTTAAGCCGCCAAATCGCACTGCTTACTGGTCTCTACCCCCCGCCACCCCTTTGGGCCTGGCCGACAATTGAAATAATAGGGCAGAGCGAAGCGAAAATTGCCAAGATATTCACAAATTGGAAGCATCAGTTGGGGTTATTTTTTTTGGTGGGGAAGGAGAGGGGAGAGGAGGGGATACTTGCCTTAAATATCTAGGAAATGAAGCCGCAAACTTGAGATACTTTGGTAGATTTTTTAAAGACCTTTTTCTTAGCGCCATAAGAGAAAATTATTTTTAAAATTTTTTTTATTTTTACCCAAAGACTTTCCAATGTTTTTCATTTAAAAGAAGAGTAAAGCTTTAAAAATCAATTCTTTATTTTTATACAATTATAACAAACAATCCTTTAATTTTTATCAAAACTAAAACTCGGCTGCGAATTTCACTTCAATTGGATAAAAATTAAAAAAGTTATACAATTTATACGCTTTTTACGACATCTTTTAGTGAAGAGTTCAAAACTTGGTAGCTAGCTATATTCTTTATTTTTTAACATTTTTCAATATATTTTTTAAAGTTTTCGATGTGTTTTTAAGTTTTTTTTTATAAGTTGGAAACATTTTTATCAATTTTTTCGATTTGTTCATATTTTTTGGAAATTATTACATCTTTTTTTTTTGGAATTTTTCCAAAACTTTTAACAACTTTTACAATTTTTTTTTTTTTAATTTTTTATTAAATTTTTCATAATTTTTAATACAAAAATACTCGTTTTGTTTGCCCAAAATATACAATTTTTATACTATTTATTTTTTGATTCAAAATTAGCCCTATTTCCCCCCTAATTAAATACCTCGAAAAATATGTCTTTATTCTTTCCACTAATTCCCCATTTCTACCTTCTCTTCTACTTGCAGGTATGCATTGCATTGTATTTTTATATATTTTTTTGGGCCTTATAGCGGCAACTGAACAAAGCCGGGAAATAACAGAAAACAGCTCAATTGGCAACACGCCCACTCGCCGCCTTTCACACCTCCAGCCGCCAGCCACCAGCCGCCAACCGCCCACACCCCAGCGCGCATAAATATTGCAGATACAGCAGAGGAGCGAGGGAGGGGGGAGAAGTTGGTAAAAGGAAAAAAAATCAATTTCGAGCTGAAACGCGAAAAAAGAAAGCCATAAAAAGTGCAATCGCCAGTAAAAAAAATGGAAAAAAGTGCAACTGTCAACGAGACACAGAAACTTTGTTGTTTACAATTTTGTGCAGTTATTGTGGCGAAATATTGAATTCAATTTAAAGCACAAGGGGCGTTCATAAATCTCCGACAATTGTTGCTTTTCAGGGAGGGGGGCTGGTATTGGGCATTAAAGGGGGGGCATCAGGCAAAGTGAAAGAGTTAAAGTTTGGATTATGGTCGTGAAGCACTTACTCCGGACCGTTTCGAACCCTGCACCTAAGCTCATTGAGGTGGTTGTCCCTCTCGCTCCGCTCATTTAATGCCTTTGGAGGGGCAGTAGAGCGAGGGAGACAAACAGATCGTAAACTGTCAGCGCAATTAAAATAAATTGAAACTGAGCAGAAGACACTGAGAAAAATAATTAGTAAAATAATATAAATTATAAAATAAATAATTAATATCCAAAATCTGGTCAATTATTATATATTTAATATATTATATTGTTATTAATATTTTTTTTTTTTTATTTAAGAATAATTTGTGTACCCCCTCCCCCTCCACAGCTGTCGCATAATTCATCAACTATTTGGAAAGAAAATTGAGGAAAAATTTGCGTGTGTGTTGCGAAAAGTTGTTCGTTTTCAGCATCTTGATTGTTTGGGGAGGAGAACCTGGGGCAGGGCGGGGTGGAATGGTAATGGAACTGCGGAAAGAAAAAGATATAGGGGAGAAGACCCAGAACCAGAAGGACTGGGGGAGCAGGGGAGAAAACTTTGCCTGGTAGCCAAACCAGGGCCAAAAAGCGTTTGCCTGCCATGGCCATGGGCAACTAAATGAACGTTCCACAGTCCTCCTGTCCACCAGTCCACCCTGTCCACCAGTCCACCCTGTCCGTAACCATGTCCGTCCCTTGGTGTCCGTTCTGTCCGTGCTCTGTCTCTTTCTGATCGTTGGCTTACCTTCCTGCCGCACTGCTGGCTGTGTATCTGCCCCTGCCACTGCCTCGTATCTCAAATTGTTCAACTTCATCAGCAAAAAGTAAGGGAAAAGATGCTTCTGCTTGGGATGTCTTGGGACTGACTGAGTGTGTGTGTGTGTGTGTGCTGCCAAATCACACCAAGTCAGGCAATCCCACTCCACAGGCAAGGCTTCCTCTCTCCCCTCCACGGTCCCCCCACTCCATATTCGATTGTCATGAGTCTGAGCCGAGGAGAGACTCTTGCTTTTGTCCTTTTTGTTTTCCAGCGGCGGAGGCAGTGGCTCTGGAAGACCCCTAGGACCCAGGCCACTTGAGCTCCGTTTCAGAGAGTTGAGGAAGTCAAGGCGCAGATAAAGACTGGGCTATTATGGAAAAGGGGTTCTGCGAGGGTCTTTGGGGGTCTTTGAGGTTCTGTGGGATTGGAGGTCAGAGAAGCTCTTCCAGACAAAGGAAATGGTTTAGTTTTTGGGATTCAGAGTGGTGGGTTCTATACCTATATCTTCTATATCATTAGACCTTTGCTTCTTCCGTCAAAATCCCCCAACCAGCCCGGGCCTGGAGCCCATCATGGCCCTCATCCAGATCGATCTGTGCGACTTTGATGCCTACCGCGATGCTGGACGCATGGTGACCGAGTGCCACGACTTTGCCGACCACCTCATGGTGGCCGAATTCCTGCCCTTCAACAAGCGGGTGGCCTACATCAACGTCCGCACCCTGGAGCAGGTGGTCTACTGCGTGGAGCTGAGCCACTGCGGGTACAGGATCGTCTCCTATAACTTTGACGACGTCGCCGAGGATGTGGCGGCCTGTGACACCATCTATCCCTCCGCCCACAAGCTCTTCGCGGGTATAAGTCCCCTCTACGCGGAGGAATTCGGCTTTGGGGTAGTGCCGCTGAAGAGGAAGTAGGCTCCAGGTGGGGGCTAATTGCTCCTCCAAGCTCCAAAAAGTGATAATTAAACGTTTTGCAGGTAAATGACTTGATTGCCGCCGGCTCTGGGTTGGATTTGGAGTTGTACTCGCCATGGAGGTGTTTCTCTCTCTCTTTTCTGATTAATTGCTGCCAAGTGAAGGAGCCAACCCGGCCCAGGCCAGACCTGGCCAGTTGATTGACTCAACTTGGCACTATCCGGACCTTATGTAGCGAAAAAAAACAAAAACGTTAACAAGTTTCAGAGCCGTTCCACTTGACTGCCGTTGTCGAATGAAGATGCAGACCCAGAGAGCACCCAGCCCATCAGAGGGGGTGGAGGGAGCGGCTGGCCCCTCTGGCATTCCTCTTTCTGGCCAGAGACCAGAGCCAACTATGGTTTTTATCTAGTCGAGTCCATCTAGTCGTCCGTCCCACGGGTGTCTGTCGGGGACAGAGTCAGCTCAGATACAGATACAGGGGGTTATCGCTAAAAAGGACATCAGTATAGATGGAAGTTCTAGATCTCCAGGTTGAGGAGTCTGTTTAGACTCTGGTTTCTCTTAGCCAGTCTCCACTGTCCTCCAAACGAACGCATTTGCTTCGGCGTCCGTATCGGCCATGTCCATCTGAGTTGGCTCTCCACTTGTCTATGCTCGTATATTTGTCCATTGAAGCATGCAATTGATTGCTGCAACCAGTCTCCTCTCCCCTCCTCCTCCTTGCCCCTTGCCCCTCTTCTGGGCCCTGGCCTGCTGCTGCGCTTTAATTGCCTTTTCATTGCGGCCCGTCGGCCTTTTGGACTCGGTCTCTAGCCGGGTCCCTGGTCTGGGCCTGGTCTATATGGTCTATATGGTCTATAGAGTGTGTGTTTGTAATTTGTGGTTGTTGTTTTCTGTTAATGCATTACATGAATTTTAACAAGCTTTGCATTCTGACTGAGACCCATTCTGACTCTTCGGTTTGTTTGTGGCAGCCGCATCTTGGCCATGTTGCAGACATAATTTAACCTTTAACTTGGCCATATTAGAGTGAGGATTTGAATAAAGTAGATCTCCTATTGGCAGAGATCTCCTCCGGGACGTGCTTTTTGGTTAATTAGCGCAGTTGCAGGCCATGTTGTGGCACACGCGACAAGCTGCCACACTTGCCACAACGACAACTATTTTGTCTGCTTTAAAGCGCTGTAATTATTTTATGCCAGATAGCCATTGGAGGTTGTCAGTGCCGCAAAATGTGGCAGAGCTAATCAGGGTGGACTTACTAGATTAGTTCATACCAATAGTAGTTCCCCCAACTAGTCTCCAAGTGTAACTAAGCTTAGTTACTCTCTTTAAGATCAGAGTTTATGAAGTGAAGTAGCTTATTTTATGGCCAATGATTTCCCAGCGAATCAGGCTCACTCTAAACTACAAACAAGCTAGCTGGCCACAAAAGGGGGCATGCGGCTTGGAGCTGGCTGCTGTCAGCCGTTGACAGCCACTAGCAGCGTCGCCTTCGTCTCTGCAACTTTTAACAATTTGCAATAAATTAGCGGAGGCAACTGTGCACAGTTTTCACTTGAAATGCAGCTCGAATTGCATTTCCAGGGAGCGGCAGTAGAAAACTACACTTAGAGAAAATATTCAGAGAAAACAAGTGCCTTCATCATTAAACTTGGGAGTTGGAGAGGAGGAATTTCTCTCAGTGCTGCCAGTTTCCAAACATGTCTTGCCAATTTCACACTTGAACTGCCTGCCTGCCTGCCGGCTCGGGCCTGGGCCTGGATTTCTACCTGGTCGGGCAACCTGGTCAGCCAACCCGATGGTGGCACCCCTCCACAGGATGTCGCAGCTGGAATTTCAGCTCACACCTCGGGAAACGCCCGAAAGGAACCAGCCTTGGCTATGGAATAGAACCCACGCTCCTGTATATTTTTTTTATGGATAGATTTCAGAACATTTTGGTCGTCACCTTCAGGGTGACGGTCATCTGAAGCTCCACGGCTGGCAGGGCACTGATGATGGCCAGGGCCTTGTAGTAGCCCTCGGGCACCACCTCCGGCATGCCCTCGCCGCTGATGGTGCAGCGCGTAAAGTTGAAGGTGTCCTTGGGCCAGGGGGGCACATAGCCGTCCTCGTACTTGGGCAGGTCGGTGCAGTCGCCGAGGTTCTTCATCAGCAGGTCCTTGTAGAAGGTGTTGAGGTAGTCGATGAACTTCTGCGGCTGGATGCTGTAGGGGGTCAGCTTGTAGTCGGCCTCGTTGCCGGAATAGCAGCTATAGATCCGGAGTTCCACCTGGTGATGGAGGTAGGAGGTGGTTTAGGCCTTCTGGGAGATTCTTCAGAGGATCTCTTACCGTCACCGTGTCATCCATGTCGATGTTGGTGAAGTAGGTGCCCGTGAAGGCGAACTCTCCCAGCCCGAAGCGCTCCACTTTGAGGTTCAGGTCCATGTAGTTGGGATCGGTGGTGGTCTTGCTGATGGAGATGGGTCTAGCCTGCCATTTAACCTGGAGGATGGTAGTATCTGTAGTGTGGATTAAGCTCCATAGCTCCATAACTCACCTTTCCCCAGCAGACTTCATAAAAGTTCAGAAAAGTAAACACGATTGGCAGAAAGTATCTAAAGCTTCTAACCATGATTTTTAGGAAATGTTGGGGAGTATCTAGAACCCCTCCATTATATAGTTGGAGAGTCACGTTTTTAATGTTAAATTATTATTTAAAATTAAATTATTTCTTAATTACATTGTAAAATGTACACAGGGTGGAGTTATCACAGATATTCCATCAACATTGTGGCCCTTGTAGCCTGAAACACATTATTGCAACCCTCATGTGGCACGGAATTGGAAAGATTCTCCATAGATAAGGGGGGTATACATACATACTTACCCTTTAAAAAATAGTTTAATTGTAAAAGTTATATTCCAAAAAATATAAGAAAAAAACTCTAAAATTTCAATTAAAAATACCAACTTTTAAACTTTATTTTAAAAAAAAACCAGAAACCCCTTTTAGTTATAAAATTAGATCCCCCCCTTTAGATCACCTTCTGGGTAACTCGCACCACAAAAATAAAGCCCCAAGTAACCTGCCCCGTGGTGTTGTAGACGATCTTGTAGTATCCTTCCGGCACCACTTCCGGCAATCCCTCGCCACTGGCCACGCACTTGTCCAGCTTGTAGACGCCTCGGGGCCATGGCGGGGCAAACTCGCCCTCGAACTGGACCAGGTTGGAGCAGTGGCCCACGTTCTTGATGAAGGCGTCCTTGTAGAAGGCGTTGAGGTACTCGAAGAAGGGCTGCTTGGGAATGGAGAAGGGCATCAGTTTGTAGTCGCTCTCATCGCCCGAGGTGCAGTGGTAGCAGTCGGCCTCAACCTGTCGAGGTGGAGGATGCTCATTAAGGATGGGATTAGTAAGCCAAGTTAGGGGGTTACCATGGTGTCCTTATCCGCATCGTAGTTCCAGTCCAGGGTCATGGAGAAGGCAAAGTCTGCTCGTCCCAATCGGTCTACTTTGGTGGAGATCTTCAGGAGACTTTCGTCCGAGGAGAAGGCTTCTAGGGTAACGGGCTCGTACTCCCAATTGCGCTGCAAAGTTAATAGATTTCTATTAAGGATATCCTGGTTCTTAAGAAAGGATGTCCTACCCCTGCTCTGCAGTTGAGGATCCTCAGACCCGCCACTAGAAATGCGGTTAAAAAATGGATCAGAGAGCTGTTCATTTGGCAGACGTCCTATGAGGTACTTTCATCCACTCTGGTTCGGGCTCTAATATATACTCTTGTTTGGCATGAGGGTATTACGTGGATTAGTTTCGTAATCCTCTAATCTGGTGGCTGGGATCTGGACAAGCTTGTTAGATCAGCACGGGTTTTTTAACAAAAATGGAAGATGTATGTAGATATTTTACAGGCTTAGTTCTTGAGGCTAGGAGTGTTGGGATCGAACCCATTCTTATATAATAATAGGGTTCATTCTTAATAATATGATAACGATAGGGTTAGGGGATCTATTTTGGGGTTATATAAGGAGTTATCTTCTCACAAAAGCCATTACTATCAGTTGGGGTTTGGAACACCTAAGGTTTCCAAAGGGTTCTTTAAAAAGTAGTGGTACCTTAGGCATCAAGTCCGAGGAGATAGACCTCTAGATACCCCTCCAGATAGACCTCCAGATAGATCTCTATAGAGAGAAAAGCTATTATAACCCTATACCCCAACCCTATATAATGAAAAGAAAGCACTCTTCTCTTTCTTCTGCCGATAATATTTATTTGAAATCACCCTGAAAATTAGGATTTCCCATCTGGATCCTCAAAACATTTTGTTGGTCAGCTTGAAGATCCCAGTGAGACCCCACTTGGGCTGATCCGGACCATAGGTGGTGAATATGACCTTGTAGTAGCCAGGAGGGGCTATCTCGGGCAGGCCATCCCCGTCGACCTGGCACTTGGTGATGATGAACTTGTCCTTCGGCCAGGGGGGCTGGAACTTGCCCTCGAACTGCGGGATGTTGGAGCAGTGCCCCAGGTTCTTGACCACCACGTCCTTGTAGTAGGTGTTGAGATACTCGAAGAAGGGCTGCTTCGGAATGGACCAAGGTAGCAGCTTGTAGTCGCTTTCGTCACCGGAGCTGCTGCGATAGGCCGAAGCTTCCACCTGGAGGAGTAGGTGGGTTAGGGTTTGGTTCAAAGGCAAGGATCACTAACCATAGTGTTCTCGTCGGCATCGTACTTCCAATCCACGTAGCCCGTCATTCCGAACTCCCCGCGTCCCATCCGCTCTATTTTGGCCACAAAGTCCAGCTGGCTGTCATCCGAGGAGGTGGTTTCGATGGAAATGGGTTCATAGTCCCATTTTCTCTAAAAATATGAATTAGTATCCATTGGGGGGTTGGAGTTGAAGATTCTTACCGCTGCCTGGACCAAGTGCATCATCAGAGGGATGAGGATGATTCGGGTGGATAATTCCGAGGAAGGCATTCTGAAGAATAGCAGGGCCTCTAGAACAGGGCCTTATATATAGGTTGGATACCACTAACCTAGTGGCCCTATCTCACGAACTAATCATGTTGGAACCTTGTTAACAACTTGATTATTTTTGGAGAGAATTTTAAAATAGTTCTCGATCTACAGACTAGATTCGTGTTTTGGGAATTAAACTACCAACTAGCAGGTACTGGAACTATCCATCAGATATCCCAACTATTCCAACAATAATGAGGTATACGACTTGGAATAAGTATACTTTTCCAACCACCTTTATTACCCATTTTTCTACCAAAGTATCTACAGCTTTATACTAAAAGATAATACATGTCCTAAGACAGTTAATCACAACAACTTGTTGGAAATCTTCACCACGATGATGAAGCCCCAGTCCACGGGACTCGTAAAGTTCATGATGATCCGGTAGAAGCCCTCGGGCACCACCTCCGGGAAGCCGTCGCTGTTGGCCACGCACTTGTCCAGGACGTAGACCTGCTGGGGCCAGGGGGGCTCGAACTTGTCCTCGAACTTGACGAGGTTGGAACAGTCGCCCAGGTTCGGGATCACCACGTCCTTGTAGTGGGAGTTCATGAAGTCGGTGTAGGGCTGCTTGGGGATGTTGAAGGGCAGCATCTTGTAGTCGCTCTCGTCGCCAGAGGCACTTCTCTGGGCGATGGCCTCCACCTAACAAGGGGGATTACTCTTTTAAAGAAGGGTCTATGGCTTAAGAGGAGATCCTGGTTACCATGGTGGTGTCATCCGGCTCGTACTTAAAGTCCACCGTGGCCGAGACTGCAAACTCGCCTCGACTGACCCGATCGATCTTGGCCGTGATTTTCAAGAGGCTTTCGTCACTGGAGAAGGTCTGGACGGAGACGGGCTCGTAGTCCCAGCGGCGCTGCAGGAGAAAGAGTGCTTAGATGAGGTACTGGACTCGGAAGGAAGGGTTTACCGCTCCATGGGTGTTGTGGATCAAGTGGAGGATCAGACATAGTCCTGGGATCAGGGCTGGTGATGATCTGAAAATCATTTCAACGGAGAATGGAGGGGCTCTCTAGACCAGGTGGCTTATATAGAAGGGAGATAAAGATCCATTGCATGTTCGGGGATGTAGTCAGCTTGTTTGGAACCGTTTAGTTCCATTATACTCGGTCTATATACCCAGATATGCCCCGATAGTGGAGTAACTAGTACAGTTTATTGATAATCTTAATCACGACTTTGAAGCCCCAGTCCACGGGACTCGAAAAGTTCATGACGAGCCTGTAGAAGCCCTCGGGAAACAGTTCCGGGAAGCCAACGCACCTGGAGACGCACTTGTTGAAGGTGTAGACCCTCTGGGGCCAGGGGGGCTGGAACTTGTCCTCGAACTGGACGATGTTGGAGCAGTAGCCCAGGTTCGGGACCACCAGCTCCTTGTAGTGGGTGTTCATGAAGTCGGTGTAGGGCTGCTTGGGGATGTTGAGGGGCAGCTTCTTGTAGTCGCTTTCGTCGCCAGAGGCACTTCTGTGGGCGATGCCCTCAATCTGGAGGAGAGTACTGGCTTTTTAGGAGGTCTGGGGCCTGTCAGGGATCTATAGCTACCATGGTGGTGTTATCCATCTCGTACTTGAAGTCTATAATGGCCGAAAAGGCGAACTCGCCGCGCTTGACTCGATCGATCCAGCCGGTGATGTTGAGTCTGCTTTCGTCACTGGAGTAACCCAGCATGGAGATGGGCTCGAAGAACCAAGAGAGCTGTGTGGGTTGGAATAGGAAATAGTACTCGAAAGTGGGTGACTGGGAGTGGACCAACCTTGCAGCTGTGGCTCGAATGGAGAAGCAGACACAGTCCTACGGCCAGAGTGGGCAACGAGCCTATCATCATTTTTGGTGGAACCCTAAACGCCGTACTAATCGTTTAGCTTATATAGGATGAGATAAGCATCCAGGTCGGGCTCTGACATGGGCCGGCTTGTTTTGTTAAACATGTGAGAGGGGCACACGATATGTGTCTGTTGGGTAATCCCATCAGACACCAACCCCATCCACCCGACCCATGGTCTAAGCAACCCTTAGGACTTGAACCCTAAACCGGATTGCATCATCCCCTTGGAGGGATGGGTATTGTTTGGAAGTCTACTAATTGACACAAACAGAGTTCTGTTGAAAGAATAGAGTCATAAATTCCGATTCCCCGAAGAAGGGGAGATCCATAGCCTCTCAAGAGATCGATATTGAATGGATCTGGATGGTCTTCCATCTTCCAGCCCAAGTGGCATGATAGCCACTTGAGTTTCGGGCACTTGAGAGCTGCTCTCAGTGTGGCATGCCACAAAGTAGAAGAACAACCAGAGGGGAGACCGCCGCACTTAATTTAATTGAAGAGCCGCCACCACCAACGCCATCAAATAGCGTTCTGGAGAATGGATGGAGATGGGACTTGGAGCTTGGGACTTGGGGGAGAATCAAATTATCGCGATTCCGAGACAAGAGCCAGATCCAGAAACCAGAGTGAAGAGTTATTAGCGAACCTCAAATTTGTATTTTTTTCCAAAAACAGTCCAGGAAGAAATACCAGCAGCTTTTTGAATATTTCCAAGTCTTCGGTTGGTGGTTTCTACTTTCTTGGAGAGGACTGTGTATCTGCTCTCCATTCTGGCCCGAAAACACCAATAAAGCGCACTGGCAACTCCCCGGAGGCGTTCATTTAGCAACCGCAGAGGATCAATCTCATACAACAACCATCTTGTGAAACAAAAAAGGGGAACAAAAATGAACCGAGCCAGTTGATGGGGATCTGAACGATCCAAACGGCGGCCGACAACGATGTTGCCGTAAATCTCCAGCTCTGCCACAGAGGGCCCCAGCCCAGCCCCTTGTTCCTGCGGCTTCCTCATCATCATCTCGGGCTGGTTTTATGTTTTCCCCGACAGTGCTGCGTCTTGTAGTGATGTCTACATGGCTCTTTTTCTTAGAGATCTTTTGGATATTTTTATTTAAAGTGGATGAAGGTATTAAGAGTAGTATATGGTAGCTATGAAGCTGCTTTAGATTATATATCATCTTTAGGATGCTATAGTACCGGGTACTATAGTACTATAGTATCTATTGTTTGTTTTAGAAGTTTAAGTATCTTTTGGGCTTCTTTTTAATAAAATATGGAATATACTTCTACCTCAAAGACACTCAAATCTACTCATAATTGTAATCTTTGAGCTGAAAGATGCAGATAGATACTCATTGATACCTTTATTCCATAGTAATATACTCTTAGGTACGGGGTATCTATTACAAATAATTCGTTTAAATGTTCAAGTATCTTTTTGTCTTTTTTTGAGTAAAATATACAAGATACCTCTTCTTCAAAGACACTCTTATCCCTTAGAATAATATATTTTAGATGAAAGATGCAGCTTGAAACTCAGTGAGATATTCTAGTACCGGGTATCTATTATTTTAATAAACATTTTAGGGATCTTTTCGGCCACTTTGACTTTCCAATTGCTTTCTTTATGATATCTATAAGCTAAAAGATGCTGAAACAATCTCAAAGATAGCTATATCTCCATACTACCATAGTACCGGGTATTTGTAAAATATTCTTAAACTAATACATGATATAGGACGATATATTTTAGCCAAATTGCTAAAACAAGCTCAAAGATAGTTTTATTTCCATTTTAGACAGTAGCCTATAGTAATAGTACCGGGTATCTATTATTTCTTTAAACAATTTTCAGTATCTTTTCTTCAATTTTCATTAAAATATACAAGTTCCTCAACTTGTATCTAAAAGATACCTAAAACAATCCCGAGGATAGCTCTTTTTCTGGCCAACACTCGCTGTGAGCTTGGGTTCGGGGCACTGGCTGATGTTTAGTACGTGCGGACAGGGACTTTGGCCATAACAAGAAGACACTGTCAGTCCCCCCACCCCCACCTAGCCCCCTCTGCTCTCCAGCAGGGGAAGTATCTTTTCTTGACTTTATATCGGTCTGTGGTTGCAAACCCAATTTAAAACACGACTTGAACGATGGCCGGCGCTGTCTTTGTGCTCCCTCTCTGGAGCTGGAGTGGAGCTTGGTGGTGGCTGTCTACCTGGCTGGCACTCCTCCTCCTCCACCTCCCTGCTCCTCCTTGGCGGGGCCATAAAGCTTCAGTTCAGTGGAAGAAGTAGCGGGGGCTATTAGTAATTTATTGATTTGTCTAAATTATGGTGTGTTTCAATCTCCGTGTTTGTTGTTGTGCGGCGGCATTGCATCCAAATGGTTGTATTTTTTCGGCAAGGGGCTTAACCCCTTGTTGGCACGTTAATGCGCCACATGCCACTTGCCACATGCCACCCACTTGGACCGTGTGGAGTGCGTAATAGCGGATTAAACGGTGTCCAAAGGGGGGGGCTTTAGTTCAAAGCCTCAAATAAAAGATGATTGCCATGGGAACTGTCTGGTTTTTGTTTTTATTTTTCTTTTTTTTTAATTTCGCATTTGTATGCGAGTGCGATTAAGTGCTGGCCGTAAAAAAATAAGCAGTGTGTGGGCAGATTTTATTGTCTGACGAGCCAACCAGCACAGCCACCGCGCTCAGTCAACAACTCAATTAATTAAGTTTTCTGTATTCCATTATTCCGAATATCAGAACATAACTCGGGTGACACAGACCACATCCCATCCCACACAGAAAATCATGCTTTTGTTCCGACTGGGGGCCACTTGATTATCATAAAATGTTAAGCAGATGGAGATTTAATGGTTTTAAAGATGAACTGGGATTTATGCAAAAGAATCCATCAATTCCACTAGAGGAACCTCTTTCCCAAATAGACTTCAAGACCTCGGTTTGTGGGTGACGTCAGCCCATAACACTGTAGAACTCCCCCGTAGACGTTATCTTATCGCGAATCTGCTACTGGGCATGTGTTCCAAAATTAGGCACTTGAGACTGGCCTGGAAGGGGGTGACGCTATCAGTAAATTGTGGAAAAGTGCTTTAATTACCAGGTCGTTAAGGTGCCAGGCTACTCCCGCCGACTAGAGATTATGATTCGGAATGTAAATCACTGCACCGCCTCGCACCCGTCTATCGACGATCGTTGATCGATGAGGGGCGGCTATTGGAGGCACTTGCTCTAATCTCGCCAAGTGGGGGGCTCTCGTTCCAGATTGCATTTTAATCTAAAACCTCACTCTTTCCATCTCTTTCTTGCAGTTTTGAAAATGAACCATTTGGCCCGAGGGCCGAGGCCCTGCGTCTCTCACACGAGTCATACGAGGCTGACGGCCGCGGTTTGGACCAAGAACAGTAACTGTAACCTAAACGCTGGCAGCTCGCTCCTAGGCACTACTGGTAGTACTTTGGGCCGCCCGCGCAGTGCGGCCGCCCGATCGTTCGCCTCTGCATGGAGTCAATGAGACGTAACGAGGCGAACACTAGCCACCACCCGAACAAGGTAAGATCATCCATTAGAACCTTATCTGGTAGCTATAATAATGCTTCTTAAATTTTATAATTTAAAAACAAAGTCATTAAGAAACCAAATTTAGAAAAAAAATTAAAAATAGAAATTAAAATCTACAATATAACGGTAATTTTAACTAAAAAGAACCTCCAACCCCTCTAGTGTTGCGATAAGAGCGTAATTATTTTATTGTCCTCACTCGAGTGCCGCTCTTGGCTCTGCTGGCTGCCTCGAGTGGCCACTTTTGCAGTTCGGTGATAAGAGATAGAGAGAGATAGCCTAACTATTTTAACTGTTTATTGAGCCATGATTTATTGGCCAAAATATACTACAATCGAGATCGGGCCAACACCACCTGGACGCACGTCTAAGACAAGCTTGCAAGCGTTTACCAACACTAGCCCTTGGCTCTCTCTCTCTTTGCCGCTCTTTTTTTTTCGGTGGTGGTGGTGGCTCTCCATCTCTCCCTTTCGTCCATGTACGAACCAAAAGCGTGGTTGTGCACGATCTCGAACCTGGTTGCAACAACAAAGAACCGTCACATCAAACATCAATAGGCAAAGGAAAATGTAAAAATGGTGCTCTCCCGAACCGAAACAAACGAAAAAGGACGCCGAGGAGAAGGCCTCGCGGAAACCACTAGTCGACCGAATTATTATTGTTTTTTTATTTGTTATTAGTTTAAATCTCTTAAATAAAAAATAAATAAATAAATAGAACGCGTGCCAAGATAGAAGCCAAAGCATGGTGATGGAATGGAAAGGAAGCTGGCAAAGGTAACACTTTATGAAGATAATCTTCGTTTTAGGCGCAGAGTTTTCATGCCCTACTCCTCCCTCTTCCATTCGCGCCAACGAACACACACACGCACTACTCACACCTATACAGCTGCAACTTACATTTTTGTTGGATTTCTTTTTTTTTTTTGTGCATTCGCAGGTGGCCCTGAATAGCAGCAACGTAGCAACGGAAAGCAATATTAAGAGTAATAAATTGTTAGCTAATTTAAGTGCGGCAGGAGCAGCTTCAGCTACAGCTACAGCTACAACGGCAGCATCGGCAGCTACAGCGACAACAGCGAATCAAGCGCTGAATTTCAATAACAAAACGAAAACAACAACAACAACAACAGCAGCGACAGCGGCGGCGAATAATCAGAAGAGCAACCACAATAACAACAACAACAACAACTCTAGTGCGACGATCAAGAAGCACACAAACACAAGTAAGTAACTGCACACCTCTGGTGGCATCCCTCTCGCACACAATCATGAAGGATTACGATTCTGACACGCTATCATCTCTCCCACTCTCCTACTCCTTTAGAGGTAACTGGGACGGGCAAGAGCACCGCTTGCAGCTCATCCTCGTCACTGTCCTCGTCGAGTAGCTCCAACTCGAGCGAGTCAAAGGACACGAACTTTGAGTACGAGGACGAGTGGAATATTGGCGGCATACCAGAGCTGCTGGACGACTTGGACGCGGACATCGAAAAGTCGGCGGCGCATTCTTCGGGTGGTGGCAACCAGGCTACCGCGCTAAATGCCAAGCAGGCAACCAGCTCCTCCACATCCTCCTCATCATCCTCCAAGGGCGGCGCCTCATCCACATCGGTATCGGTGCCAACAGCACAAGCAGCATCGGTGTCATCGCACAAGTCACACAAGACCACGTTGCACAGCAACTTGTCGGCCACATCGCCAACCACAATTAAGTTCACACGGCAGCCGGTGGCCGGCGGTGGATCGACCTCCTCCTCCTCAAGCGCAGCCCCCTCTAGCGGCGGCGCTAACGTGGTGGCCAAGGGATCCTCTTCCTCGTCCTCTTCCTCATCTTCTTCCTCCTCGTCGTCGTCGTCGTCGTCCTCATCGTCGTCGTCGACATCATCGTCTTCGTCGGGGAAGCACCACCACCACCATCATCACCACTCCAACTCGAGCAGCAACAACGGCAGCAGCTCCAAGGGCTACAAGTCCGCTTTGGTGGCCCAACTGAACAGTCCCAGTCCCCTGAACAGCAGTTCCAAGGCCCTGAGCCAGGGAACCGGCAGCGGGAACGGTAACGGAGCAGGAGCCGGCAGCACATTGTCATCCTCGACATTTGCCGGCTTCTCGAAGGGCGGTAGCCTAGTCTCCTCCTCGGCCTCGTCCTCCACCGCATCTTCGGGCGCGGCAGCAGGATCCACGGCGACGGCAGGTGGCAGTGGTCAGCAGGGAGCCAAATTCCCCGCTGGCGGCATGTCCTCGCAAACAGGCAACTCCAGCAACAACAACAACAACAGCAGCAGCGGCAACAGCGGAAGCGGGAGCGGCAGCAGCTCGTCCGGAAGCAACAGCCTAGGGAGCGGCAGTGGTAGTGGTAGCGGGAGCAACAACAACAACACAACCGCCGGCGGTGCGACGAGTTCGCAAGGCGGCAGCAGCAGCAGCGGCAGCGGTAGCAGCAGCTCCAGCTCCTCCAGTGGCAAATCGAGCGCAAAGATGTCCATTGACCACCAGGCCACGCTCGACAAAGGACTCAAAATGAAGATCAAGCGCACCAAGCCGGGCACCAAGAGCTCGGAGGCCAAGCACGAGATTGTGAAGGCCACCGACCAGCAGCAGAACGGAGCCCTGGGCGCCGGATCCAACAGCTCGGCCAACGATGACGGTAGCTCCGGCTCCAGTTCCAACAACACGTCTTCCCTGGCCGCCGGCAACTCGTCGAGCAGCGCCAGCAGTGGCAGCTCCTCCAGCAGCGGCAGCGGGTCCTCGGGGAGCAGCAAGAAGCACCTGAACAACGCCAACGCCAGCAGTGGCTCCTCCTCGGGCGGCGGAGGGCAGAACAATTCCGGCGGTCATGCCAGCGGAGGGGGATCCTCCGGAGGCGGCCAATCCACGCCGCAGGGCACCAAGCGCGGCAGTTCCGGTCACCGGCGCGAGAAGACCAAGGACAAGAACGCACATTCCAATCGCATGTCCGTGGACAAGTCGGCGGCTGCAGCTTCGGCGGCCGGCGAGAAGGACACGCCGGAGAAGGGCTCGGGAGCCGGATCCGGGGGATCACCGTGCTCGTGCAACGGGGAGGTGGGGGCGCCGTGCTCCCACCACGCCTGCATTCGTCGCGCAGCTCACATGTCCAACTCCGGCAGCAACTCGAACTCCGGTAGCGGCTCAGGATCCAACAGCAGCTCCTCCATGTCAGCGGTGCCCCCGGGGGTGTTTACTCCCTCGGCTGGTTCCCCCTCCGCCGGGTCGCCATCGGCTGTTGTGCCGGCGGCTGCCTCTTTGTTGGCGGCCGCCGGAGGAGCCGCCTCAGGTGGCTCCCAGCTAGCCAACAGTGGCGCCAGCGGCGTGGGAGGGTCCGGCGGAGGGCCCAATGCCCCCGGCCCGCCGGGCAAGGACTCCTCCGGCAGCGGCATCAAAATCTCCTCACACATCGCCGCCCAGCTGGCGGCGGCCGCTGCCTCCAACAACAGCTACAGCGGGAGTGGCTCCAACTCGAACCAGGGCCAGAACAGCAACAGTGGCGGCAGCGGCGGAGCCGACAGCAAGGCAGCTGCCGCGGCACAGGCCAAGCTGATGGCCCCCGGCATGATCTCAGCCACCATGCACCACACAATCTCGGTGCCGGCCGGCAGCGGAGGCCCTGGCGACGAGGAGACCAAATCGCCGCCAGCCAAGAGGGCCAAGCATGAGGCGGGAGCCGGCAGCGGAGCCAGTGGCAAGGAGATGGTGGACATCTGCATCGGCACCTCGGTGGGAACGATCACCGAGCCGGACTGCTTGGGCCCGTGTGAGCCGGGCACCTCGGTGACCCTCGAGGGCATCGTGTGGCACGAGACCGAGGGCGGCGTGCTCGTGGTCAACGTGACGTGGCGGGGCAAGACCTACGTGGGCACCCTGCTCGACTGCACCCGCCACGACTGGGCTCCTCCAAGGTGAGTAGCTGGTAGATGGGTCTGCGCAGATACGCTTTTCAAACTGAATCCAAACCATGTAGAGACTAAGCCGATCCAATAAAGATGCCTTTCAATATCATTCCCAAGTTGATTCTTTTTTCATTTCCACCTCCACCACCTCCTCCTCCTCCTGCCCGAAGGACAGGCAGTTTGAAAAGTGCAGTATCTCGCCAGGATTCCACTCAGAGTCTCATTTCAATCTTGACCCTTCCAGATTCTGTGATTCACCAACTGAAGAATTAGATTCTCGAACTCCAAAGGGACGCGGCAAGCGCGGACGCAGTGCAGGTCTTACCCCGGACCTTAGCAACTTTACCGAGACCAGAAGTTCGGTAAGCCATCTCTAATCCTTGCCAGAACCTCCCCAAACTCATATCCTGATCTCTTGCAGATTTACTTCTCGCACGCCCAGGTGCACTCCAAGCTGCGCAACGGCGCCACCAAGGGACGCGGCGCGACCCGCAGCGCTTCCGGCAATGCGGCAGCCAACAGCGGCTCCTCGGGCAACGGGGGCGGGGCCACGCCCAGCACCTCGCCCACAGCCTTCCTGCCGCCGCGGGCGGAGAAGCGCAAGTCCAAGGACGAGGCGCCATCGCCCCTCAACGGCGACGCTTCAGACGGTGGCGCCGGCTCCGGTGTGGCGGGAGCCGGTGGCGTGAACATGGTGAACGCCAGCGGCATCCCCATCTCGGCCAGCGGCGGTGGCCTGGCCACCCAGCCGCAGAGCCTGCTCAATCCGGTCACCGGCCTGAATGTCCAGATCAGCACCAAGAAATGTAAGACTGCCTCGCCCTGCGCGATCTCCCCGGTGCTGCTTGAGTGTCCCGAGCAGGACTGCAGCAAGAAGTACAAGCACGCCAACGGCCTGCGCTACCACCAGTCGCACGCCCACGGAGCCGGCGGCGGAGTCAGCTCCATGGACGAGGACTCCATGCAGGCGCCCGAGGAACCAGCCACGCCGCCCTCGCCCGGAGTGGCAGCGGCAGCAGGATCAGGATCTGCCCCTACCACTGCATCGGGAGCAGGAGCAGCTGCCGCCGGCACTTCTCCAGCTGCGGCACCGGTTTCTGCGCCTGTCAGCACTCCAGCCGCTGGTATCTCTAATCCCGTAACCAACGGCAGTGCTCCTCCAGCTTCCCCGTCAGTGGCCGCGGCCAGCAACAGTTCTTCCACTGCGGCCGAGACCTCACCCCCACCAGCAATCGCTGCCCCGCCCCCGGTTACGCCTCCAGCCTCGGCTTCTGGCCTCCCGTCAGCCGGAGGAGAGCCCTCTGCCGCTCCAGTTCTGCCCATGGGCAGCCTGCCGCTGGCAGGTGCGGCTCCTCCGGTCGCCCAACCCCCTCTGCCGACTCAGCAGCCACAGCTGCTCGCTCCGGCGGGCAGTGCGTCCAGCAATCCCCAACAGCAGCCGCAGCAACCGCAGCCAGTGGCCGGAGGAAGCATTACCGCTGGAATCTCCGGGCAGGCTCTGTCGCAGCACCAGCAGCAGCTGATGGGCGGACTGCCGGCCATGTTGTCGGAGCAGCAACAGCAGGCCCTGCTGCAGCAAGGAGCACGTAAGTCTCTAAAAGAAGCATCCTCATCCTTAGTCCTAATAACACTCCTCATCCTTAGTGAAAGCCGGAGTCCTCCGCTTTGGGCCACCGGATGGGGCTCCCCTGCAGCAACAGCAGCCGGGTCAGGCACCTGGCGGCAACCCACAGACACAGCAGTCGCCTCCCCGACCGCCCAGCCACAGCCACAGCCAAGACGGACAGCAGACGCCGACCAGCTACGCCCAGCAGGCGGGGCTGAAGACCTCGCCAGGATTCGGATCCGTGGGGGTCGGCGGATCGGGCACTAAGCAGAAGAAGAACCGCAAGTCGCCCGGACCTGGCGACTTCGATGGGCGAGTGTCGCGCGAGGATGTCCAGAGTCCGGCCTACAGTGATATATCCGACGACTCCACCCCGGTGGCCGAGCAGGAGATGCTGGACAAGTCGGTCGGCCAGGCGGCGGCGGCCAAGCACATCGAGTTGCTGGGCAAGAAGCCGCCGGAGGTGGGCGTGGGCGTGGGAGTGCCGCCGGCCCCGGCCCCCAACATGTATGTGCCGGGAATGTACCAGTTCTATCCAGCGCAACAGCAGGCCCCGCCCCAGCCCCCGCAGCAGCCCCAGCCGCAGCCGTACATGGTGCAGACGGAGCCGGGCAAGCCGCCGGGAATGCCTCCGGCCCTGACTCCCCAGCAGCAGCAGCAGCTGCAGCCGGGAGCTCCGCCGCCCACGTCGCAGGCGTCCAGCCATCTGCTCGGGCCGCCTGTCCAGCCGCAGTCCGTGGCCGCCCACCTGGCAGACTACAGTGGCAAGAACAAGGATCCGCCCCTGGATCTGATGACCAAGCCACAGCAGCCGGGACAGCAGCAGCCTCCGCAGCAGCCAGGCCAGCAGCCCGGCCAGCCGGACAACCAGAACAACGGCAAGGATGGCGGCAGTGGCGGTCCGCCCACCTCGCAGGCAGGATCTCAGCCGCCGCCAGTTAACCTCAGTGCCGTGGCTGGTCCGCCGCCAGGAGCCCTGCCCCCGGGTCTGGGCGGCATTTCGGCGCTGGGAGCAGCCGGTCTGGGAGGTCCTGGACCGGGCAAGGGCTTGCCGCACTACTATCCTTTCAAGTAAGTGGAACTGAGGGCTGGCTACTGAACACTCCATTTAATTCCTCCATTCCATCCTCTTGCAGCTTTATTCCCCCGGCGTATCCCTACAACGTGGATCCCAACTTCGGGCCAGTCTCCATTGTGGCGTCCGAGGAGGCCGCCAAGCTGGCCGGACATCCTGGCATGCCACCCAGCTCGCAGGCACAACAGCTGTCGGGAATCAGCATCAAGGAGGAGCGCCTTAAGGAGAGCCCCAGTCCACACGACCAGCCCAAGCACATGCCTCCCCAGCAGCAGGTTAGTTCGGAGGAGCATCTCCACCACCTGACGGAGCATCTTGACCAGGTTTCCAACTTTCAGCTTCTGGCCAACAAGGTGATAAAGCAGGAGCCGATGACCAAGCAGGAGATCAAGCAGGAGCCCAACCAGAACCCAGGGCCACAGCATCAGCCGCCCTCGCAACCGGCGGCGCCCCAGCCGCAACAGCCCCAGCCGCCTCCGCCGCAGCCTCAGCAGCCGCACGCCCTCCATCCCAAGGACCTGCAGGCCCTGGGCGCCTACCCCGCCATCTACCAGCGCCACTCCATGAACTTGGCGGCGGTGCAGCAGGCTCGCGACGAGGAGCTGAGAAGGTAAGAGCGTCTGTCAATCCTTGTCTTGAATCTGGATAACCAAGAGTGTCCCTTCTTCCAGGTACTACATGTTCACGGGTCGCCAGAACCAGGCAGCAGCTGCTGCGGCCGCGGCAGCCCAGAACGCCGCCAACGCTGGAGCGCCGGGCGGAGGACTCCCGCCCCATCCCGGGCTGCTGCACAAGGACGAGCCCGGCCTGTCCGCCTCTCAGTCCCAGCAGGTGCACCAGCAGCAGCAACAGCAGCAGCAGATGCAGCTGGCGCAGCAGCAACAGCAGGCTCTCCAGCAACACCACCAGCACCTCCAGCAGCAGCACCAGCAGCAACAGCAACAACAACAGCAGCAACAGCAACAGCAACAGCAACAACAACAGCAGCAGCAGCAGAAGCTGAAGCAGTCGCAGGCGGCAAGTGCGGCGGCCAACAACAAGGCCACCAACCTCACCAAGGACTCGCCCAAGCAGAAGAGCAGCGCCGCCGAGGAGGAGCAGCAGCAACAGCAGCTGAAGGTGAAGCAGGAGGGCCAGAAGCCGACGATGGAGACGCAAGGACCCCCGCCGCCGCCCACGTCGCAGTACTTCCTCCACCCCTCGTACATCTCGCCGGCACCCTTCGGCTTCGATCCCAACCATCCGATGTACCGCAACGTGCTGATGTCCGCCGCCGGGCCGTACAATGCCGCACCCTACCACCTGCCCATTCCGCGCTACCACGCCCCCGAAGATCTCTCGCGCAACACCGGCACCAAGGCACTGGATGCCCTGCATCATGCCGCCAGCCAGTACTACACCACCCACAAGATCCACGAGCTGAGCGAACGGGCCCTCAAGTCGCCCACCAGCGGCAGCGGCCCCGTCAAGGTGAGCGTCAGCAGTCCCAGCATCGGCCCGCCCCAACCGGGCGGACCAGTGAGCAGCGGTGGACCCAGCTCCGGCCCGGGACCAGTTTCTGGAGTCCTCGGTCCCGGCAGCGGCCCAAGTCAACCGCCTGGCTCAGCGCCTGGGTCTGCGGGCGGTGTGCCGCTGAACCTACAGCCACCACCCGGAGGATTGGGCCCAGCGCCCGGCAGCAAACCGGATCTGTCCGGCCCCAAGGGCCATGGCGTGCCGTCGGTCGGCTCGGGGCTGGACGGGCACAAGCAGTCACTGTCTGGCGGTCCGCCGCCCAACGGACCATCTGGCAACGGAGCCGTCGGTGGAGTGGGCGGCGGTGCCGGCAACGGTGCTCCGGGAGGAGGCGGTGCAGGTGCTGCCGACTCGCGAAGTCCGCCGCCCCAGCGTCATGTCCACACCCACCACCATACGCACGTAGGACTCGGCTACCCCATGTACCCGGCGCCCTACGGAGGTTAGTATCTGGCTTTAAACCCATCTCCATCCTTATACTAATCCTGATCTTGTCCACCATGTAGCGGCTGTTTTGGCTAGCCAGCAAGCGGCTGCTGTAGCTGTGATAAACCCGTTTCCGCCGGGACCGTCGAAATGAGAACCACTGAACGGCAGCAACGAGAAGAAGGCGTATAACGTGAAGAACAACTAACGTGGAGCACTTCCGGATTTACCCCAGATCGTAGGCCTTGTTCCGCGCTTGGATTCCAACCTCTTCCCGTCGAGTCCTGTCGTCCTGCCACCTGCGGAATACTTCCGATGTTGATGTTATTGTTGAAGCTGGATGGAACACACACATAGACACACAGAGACACACACAGTCAGAGATGGACAGACACACACACAGAACCGACTATTTATATGCATAAGTATTTTTTTGAGTGTTTCGTTCAACGTGGTTAACTATAACTAGCCTAAGGTATCACTACTATTACCACATACAACTATACATATATAAATATATATAGCATAACTACATATAGCAACTTTTTCCTAAGTGTATTTGCATATGCATATAGATATCTATATATTTATACTAATTATCATACGAGAGAGGCGTAATCGAACATGAACAAAATAACAAAACAAAAAACAAAAACAAAACAATAAGAAAATAATTAAATTACAACTTTATAGCATGTTGATTTCTTTGTAAAAAATAAACATAAACAGTAAACAGTAAACGAAGGAAGAACGAAATTAAGAGATAAAATAAATATGCATATTGTTCAACTGAAAGATTCTAAATGATTATAAATAACGCAAGTAGACGTACAAGACTAGCATTTAGCGAGTGTATTAATTATCCTTATCTGTGTTGCGGATGGCGCTGCGCGGGATTTGCATCTAAAAGACAAATGGGTCGCGCTGCCCATTCAATCTTATAAATAAACTATATATATATATATATGAATATAACTAAACTATATCTGTATATGTATGCGTAAACTATATCTATGTGTGTACCACTCGTATCCGTAGTTTCTATGTTATAAGTTCTCCATGATCGAGAAGGACGATGAACGATGATGAATTTTTCGGCCAGCAGCCGCACACTAATTTAAATTGTTTTTAAGCATCGATTTGTACTTTAAATATTTATACGAATATGCATATATGATATGATATGTGTAATTAACGATTATCTATGTGAATGTGGGTGTGTAGTAGTTCACTAGCCGCTTCATAGACTCTACACGCGTGATTTATGGCACTTAATGTTCTCTAGCCTAAGCCCATCCCCACTCCCACTCCGCCTAAAGGACTAAATCTTTAGAATTTATAAATAAAACAAGTATTGAATGTAAATATATATATCTTAAAGCGAGTCTTTTTTATATTGTAAATTAGTTCACCGATTGATTTTTATTGACGATTAACGATGTTGATGATGGCTTCAGAGTAGTGAGGATGGATAGTGGAGGATGTTACGAAAGCCACAACTTAACGATTTAAATTATATTGTCTTCGTGTGTAGATCACAGAGAAGGGGTCTCCCAGCCCCGTCTAGAGTCGCTAGGTTTTTGATATTCTCAACGCAACTTGTAATCAAATCATTAACACACGATATTAACAATTGATAGGGTCTAAACAGATAACCAGATGATAGGGTCTTAACCGGCTTATGGAAAGGTACAAGCAGATTTTATACAAAATATGTATTTTAGAGAGCAACTAAAAGGGGAAGCGCATTGAATTGAATTCGAAACAATGAAATTGTATCTAAGCAAGAGAATGTAATCAACAAAAACGGCTATTAAACGGCCAACAAAAATTAAGCATACAAATATGGATGAATATGAACAAAAAACACATAACTAGCGGCTAAGAAATTTCAACAAAATATAGTACACATATTTAAAGTAAACGGAAAAATTATAAAAACAAAAACAGCTTTAGATGTGAATAAAAAATATGTAATTTAATTAAACAATTGTTTTACTTTTCTTCTGGTTAAGTCTTTTTTTTAATATCATAATTTATTAGTATATCTAGTGTGTTTGGTTAGTCGGTTATGCACTGCCCAGGGGTATGATGAAGCTTATATAGTCCGCGGTAGCACCCCAGGCTGTGCGATTCGTCTGGAATATCACAATCCAAGCGCAGAGCACCAGCAGCCACAGTAGTGTCCCGATTGCCGAGTATATTACAACTAAAAGTATTGAAAAATAACAATATTATAAATAAATATTTAGGATTTTAAATTCTTTCACTAACATCTTTTTATCTGGCTTTGCTCCGGGTAGGGGGGCTTGCGGAAGGCTTCCTGGAAAAACCAGCAAACGTTGATGGCCCACACAAATGGCAGAAGGGCAAACCCAGCTAGGAATAGAACAAGATAGTTATTAAGATTAAAGATTAATAGAATAAAGTTATTACCAAAGAAATACGTCCGACAGAGCTGCAATTTGCGGGGATTTGGTGCTTTGGATATGTCCATGATTAATCTGCCTCAAGGAATGTGGGTGGTTTTTTTAATTTATGTTCCAATAAAGGTATTTTTGAGAAGCAATGTCGTCTACTACAATGTTAGTCTACTTATAATATTTGAACCGTCTTTATTAATTGTTTTATTAATTGTCTTGTTTCTGTTTTTGTAGGCTTTTGTTGATGATGATTGTTGATGGTTCGATAGAAAAGTTATCGATAGTTACTTTCTCCGAACAATCAATAAGTGATGGACAAAATAAAAACATATGAACATGATGAATAAAACATCATGAAATGTTTGCAGTAAAACGAACTGTTTGTTGGAAAACTTTAGAAATTATTACAAACTCATCGTTGAAACACAACGGTTGGTTTCCATATCAATTGTAGTGTTGTAAAACGCCAAATACCATCTTATCGATAGCTTACCGCTCCCATCTCTACTTCAGAACGCACCGCGAAAAAGCGACGCCAATTTAATTTCAAGAAACTGTGAAAATTACAAATTAATAAAATAATGGCCGAGGTGGACGATCTGGATACTCTATCCAACGCTGAGTTGCGCACAAAAATGTTGGCTCAGGGCCTGCCCAACATCCCGGTTACAGATAGCAGTCGCAAGATATTGGTGAAGCGTCTGCGCGCGTCACTCGGTGGGCAGGCGTCGCCGGCAGCCGGCACTGCCAGTCCCAAGAAGAGCAGCAGTCGCCGGGAGACCCTGGCCGCTTCTTCGGCAGCTCCCTCCGCTGCCTCCACTCCCGTGGACAAGCTAGATGGAAGCAAGGTGGCCCCAGCTACTAAGGCACGCCGTACTATTGCCGCCACGGAGGCTAAGGAAGCGAAGGAAGTGGTGACTAAGAAAGCTGCTCCTCCAATCCAGACACGTCGCAGTTCTACTACATCTACCGGATCCGAGAAGAGGGAGCCAGAACGTGTGGTTAAGAAACCAGAAACCATTGTCGAGGAGCCTGTGACCTACAAGCGCACTAGTCAGCGTGAGAACACCTTGGAGGTCAATTCGTTGATTGTGCTGGAATCAGACGACGAGGAAGATGAGCAGCTGGCTCGTGCTGCTGAATTAGTGGAAAAGAAAATCGCCCATAAGGAGAAGTCCAAGCAGAGCAGCGTAAACACAACATATGAGAAGGTTTCTAAGGTGGATCCACCACGTCGTCCTGCTTATGAATCTGCAGTGGATCCACCACGTCGTCCCGCTTATGAACCTCCAGTAGAGCCACGTCGTCCGGTTTATGAACCTCCAGTAGAGCCACGTCGTCCGGCTTATGAACCTTCAGGAGTGCCACGTCGTCCAGCTTATGAGCCTTTAGTAGAGCCACGCCGGCCAACTTATGAATCTCGGGACCTTCCACGTCGTCCCACTTATGAAACATCAGCTGCTCCTGTTTTAAGTGCAGCTCCATCGGGTCTCTCGGCTAGACCCCAGACTAGTTCCTCCACATCGTACGATTACCTGGGCAGCCACACCGGACGCTACAGCAGCTATGTGCGCACGTCGGCCCAAAGCTATGTGACCGCAGAGGCACCAACTACACGCACCTATGCCAACGAGCTGAGCGATGACAACGACGCCGTCGACGATGCCGAGTACGAGAGCACTTTCGCCCAGAATCTGGCTCGCTTGAAGGCGGAGCGTATCGGCGACAGGAGCAGCCCGTACACCAGGCGCACCGTTGGATCGGCCTATGGCTCCTTGGCGAGGCGCTCCCTGCGTCAGGATAACCAGAGCGTTCGCGCCGCCTTCAACCGCTGGTGGGCCAGCGTCGACCAGAAATATAAGATCAGGCAGATACTGTTTATTATCTTTGTCATCTTCTTGCTGGTGGCTGTATATTCTTTTTTCTATTAGGCGGATGCGCCGGTTTCTATTTTCCCATTCGTAGTATTTAATGTTGCATTTTGTTTGTAAACAGGCCCTCGAGTTGAGTTGGGGGCTTTGTATGAATCGCTGTTTTGATGTCATTTGAATCTGAGATTGTTTAGAATGTAATCCAAGTGTGTTAAACGTGTTCTAATAAAGCCCACTTTCAGGGAATGGCTGTGTTTCGTTTTTGTTTTTTTTTTCAGCAAATGGCATCCGATGCACTCCACATGTGGCAGGTGTTTGCCCAGATCGGATCGAGAAGCGGCAGCTACACCAGCCGCAGCAACAGCTAATGATGGAAAAGCATCTGGAATGCGTGTACAACACTTGTCGGCATGACTGTGACCAAATGGAGGCGCAATGACAGCCAGCTTTCCGATCCGATTCCTGATCATCCTGCTGCCTGCTGGTGACTCCGCTTTGCCATCAAGAATTAATAAGAATTTTACAAGTTCTGCCATGAATGTGTGCTATTTTTGATCCAAAATCCAAACCGGTGACCCGGGATGGGCTGTTTAATTTTATTAACTGGAAATCGCACTTGCGCGTATTTTTTTCATCTTGCTTAAGGAAATTTCGCGCCATATTTAGCGGCAACGAGCGCGACCGGATCCGGCCCGGCCTCGGCCTGGCCCAGGCCCGGCGAGAGCTATCCTCTGGCTGCTTTTCTCTGCCATGCATGCCAGCAATAAGTTATGAAAATTGCAACAGCAGTTGCTCTGGGGAAATGCCAGTGTTGCTGTTGCTGTGGCTGCTGCCTGTCGCCGCCGATGATGATGAATTCCACAAATGCATGGAACAGCCTGTTGGCCTGTTGGGTAGGCCAGGCGGCAGATTCCTTGAAAAACAAAGCCATGGCCCATACAATATATCGTGTGGCTAATAAATACGCCGCGCATTGCTAGTTGCTCTTAATGAAATTAACTTCCAGGAATTACCTACATGGCAGCAACGATGCAGACGACACAACGACTACAACATTGACGACTTCAGAGGCAACAATGGCCTGAAGGCAAGAGCAACAGGCAACAACATCTCGAGCTACACTCGAGCAACAATGGAAGCTTAGGCAAATGCAACCAGCCATCGGCCATGGAAATTAAATGGAAGCCTGCAAAGAGTTTCACGCACTCCACTCGTTAATAGAGTCGTAGGCACCCACAGCAACATGGCAACACAGCAACACACTCCCCATGTTGCAACAGCAACATCAGCAACAGCTTCCCATCTTCAGCTGCTGCTCAAGTGTGACATTCATGGAAAAGCCAAGTGGAATATGATTTTATGGCCAAAACCAAAACTTTTGTCTACATCACGTACCAGACTAGAAGGGCGACACGAAAAAAAAGCTAAGAAGTTGGAGAAAGAAAAGGAGCACCAGAGCACCAGAATGGGTTGGGGGAACTGCTGGACTGCTGGAGTGCTGGGGTGCTGGACTGCTGGGCCAATGACTTCCTCGTTGTGAGCCAATTAAAGAGCCTGCTCGTTGTGGTTGCTGCTGAAATCATTTGTAATGCAACGTTTGGAATAATTCACGCGCAAATTGCCCGCGACTCGCGAAAAATATTGCAACATTCCACTGCAAATTTTACGATTATGCGTTTGCACCACAACATCAGCTTCAGCAGCAGCAGCAACACTACTGTTGCAGTTTGCCAAGTTGCTAGTTTCTAGTGGTTGAGTGCAACAAACAGCCAGCAGCAACACATTCTCCTCTCGTAGGCGCTCGATCACATCAAATCAAATCAAATGTAAGCGAACGACCGAGGCATTCGTTGTCAGGTCCAGTGCTCCAGATAGATAAATCAGTCGGTTAATTGTCGCAACTTGCAACCCGACGACTACCAGTTGCCGCATTACCAGTGGGAGCGTGAACTCTGCAGGACCGTAGGACAGACACCTCCTTTAGAATTCTCCAAACTTTTCCCATAGGAATTCCTAAATTCCTAATCGAATTATGTTTTTTCCACAGATAATTAATCGTAAGGGATGACATTTTTATGCAAAGTCTCCACCAAGAGATCAAAGTTGAACATGGAAACATCGCATCTGTGGAGTTTGGACATTTTAATTCCATAAATAATGGCGTTTTGTCTCTAAACAGACAGTCAGTGTCTGCCCACTCTATAAGGCCTAAAAGAAATCATTTATTTATATATATGTTTTAAGGGGTATGTGAGAAAAATAAGGGTTATGATGGAATTCTAATTTATAGATGGTACTCTAAAAAATATTAATCATCTTATTTAAGCCATTAAATTCTTAGAACTAGCTCTTCTTTTATAACTAATCTATTTAAGAAGTAAACCTACTATAGGGTATAGAATGAGCCCAACTATTTTTGTATCTGGTTGGCTTTGTTCCCAAGTCGGTTCCGAAGACAGTGTCTTTAGGCTGACTACTCGTTGTCAAGTTGTGGACCACAGCGACCAATCAGTGTCAGCCAGAAGTGTCTTTTTTAGTGGCCCAAAGTGATGAGCTAATCAACCTGACCTGACCAGTCCCACAGTTTCAATCCCAGAGGCCGGTGGTGCTTGGTGATGGTGGTGTGTCTATATGTTAATAACATTATTTATGTATCTTGTAGTTCGGTTTATTTTCGTGTGTTTTGGTATATTGTTTTGTTTGATTTAACAGGAATTGGAATTGGAATTAGAAACGAAGCGAAACAAAGTCTTACCAAGAGAGACCTGCGTTTCCCTCCATTTTGTTTGTATTTTAGGTGTCAATCGCATTAGACGGAAATCAGTTTTGTTTTTTATTGAGACTCATTTGGATGTGGTTTCTATTTCTATTCCTAGCCCTCCATACCCTGACATACATGCCACTTTAAGGTGGTATCGTTGGTTGCTTTTTATGTTGAATTAAACATTTTAAATTGGCCACGAAAGATAATTTGTTGGTTGTATGCGATATGAGGTGGGCTCGGTTTAGGTTTTCAGTTTTCAGTTCTGGTGTGTGTGGTCTCCATGATCTGGGCAAGCATTAAATAAATTATAAAACCATTTAAATTAAACTGAATAGCTGACCAAGTTCGTGTCTTAAGTCTTTTGTTTGGTTTTGGTTTTTTTGGTTTTTTTTTCGGGGTACTGCTGGCAAAGGAACACTACTGCCCCAGCTGCCGTCGACACAGAAACTGGTTGAACCATAACAATAAAATCAGCAACACTCGCGACATTCCCGCAACCAAATATGGAATTTATAATTAATTTTTATGTCCATGGGATGCAATTAGGAGTCTGAAGGAACCAGCAGCGGCCAGGGTAGAGCCGGGGATCCAGGCCGAGGCGAGAAGGGGAGATCCCAGACAGAGCGGTTCAGAGATGCAAATGAAATCAAGTCATGCCTATAATCGGATTTGTTGCTCCTCGTATATTAACTTGTCACAGTTTCTATGTGTTGAACATAAACACAATTTGTGCTTAATCCACATGGAGCTGCTGGGATACACTTCTGATGCCAGAGACGGTCTTGAGAACTGTCGCTATCAATTATGACATTTTGTTGCTGTTTTGTCACTTGTGCCACTGGCGATCAGATCGGATTTCCCCAGACCACAACCAGATCGGCTCCTTCATCTCCACCGATCTTCCGCATCCTCGTTTTGGACTGCCATCAATCATCTTTGATTTCCAAACGTTCTGCGGTTGCGGCTAATGCCACGTGCAATCAATTCCAATTCATGTGCGACTGCCCACTGAGCACCACTTAGCCACCACTATTTCGCCATCCTCTCGGCCCCTCTGGAGGCACCCACCACCATCAGTTGGGGATTCGGGGCCAGCTGCGTTTTTCAGAGCCGGCTCCACTCTTTTTCGGGTGGGGCTGAGTGCCGCACGATCCCGATCCAATCCGGCGCAAATTAGGCGCGAAAATATGCAGCAAAGTGAGACAAACATGCCGAGAGCTGCTAAAAGCCTCGCACAGCTTAAATCGAAACTGACAAAAAAAAAAAAACAGCAGAGGAAAAACTAAAAAAAAAAAGCAAAACTTGCCGCTGGTCAGTTAATGGTGTTAAAATTTGGTACACCGATTGCATCTATGGCTATACAAATTGCCACAGCAGCAGCAACAGCAACAACACTCGAGACACATGGCAGTAGCAACAAGAGTCAGAGCAGCAACATGAGCAACGTTGCAACTGCAACAACAACAGCAACATCAACACCAGACTGCAACAACGGCTGAGGCTGAGGAGTCGTTTTGTCAACACGGAGCATGCTTAGCCGCGTTTTCCCAGGGGACACTTAACGCGGCTGCTTAACGTCTAAATCTGTCGTCAAGGCGCGCTCAAAAGGCTAAAATGTGTTTGCCGAAGACGCGAACGGCAAACGGCAAAAGGCAAACGGGCCAACGGGCAAACGGCAAATGGCCAACAGCAAATGGCCAAGTCGGGGCAAGCCCAGGGATATCCAAGCAAGTGGCAAGACGAGGCAGCAATTTGTATGCAACTTTATGTTTGCCCACTCGTCGGATCCAGCCTAACCTAACCTAAACCCATCCGGGAGAGTCGCCACACTGATGCTGACGAGCAGCTGCCCCTGCTTGCCCCAATTGCCCTCGGCTCAATGGGGGAATTTACACTCGAAGAAAATCATTAGAATTACAAGGATATAAGAGACAATTTTCGGAGGAAGGGTCCTTACATGTTATTACTTTTCTTTAAAAAATCCTTGAGTTTTAAAATTCTAATAAATTATTCTTTTGGAACACCTTTCCCCAAGTGCATACTTGACTCAAGACTCTTCTTAGCTTGGCCCGATATTTTCTCGTGCCTTTGTTTGGCTCTTGGCTGGATTGTTCCCCTGTTGCCAGTCGCCTGTCTCCTGGCTGGTAGTCTCCACTGTACAGTGTTCCAGTGCGTTGGGAACGAGGTAAAGTCAGAGCAGCGGCAAAATTTATGAACCCCCGGGTTTGGGCTTGGGTAGAGTAAGGAATAGGGATCGGAATCGGGATCGGGGACAACGATGCCTTCGCATGTAAACATTCTGCAATGGGGCCTGGAATTTATATGCAACATAATCAGCATAAATGCCGCATGCGCCATCAAAATGTTGCGACCATTGGCCATCACCTGGGTGGGTGCCAATGCCATGCACCAGCCGGCAACCGGTGTCCCCCTGGGTAATTTCAGCAATTTGCAAATTGAGAAATTGCAAATAATTTACAAT